GTGAGGGCATTTGCATTGACTGGTAAGATACAGAGCTTAAATCAAACCCTTATTTATTTCCGTTTTTGGAGGGATGGGAGGGGGCACTGCCTCTCTAGCAAGCATGCCTCTCAAGGCGACCATCTAAGGTGTATCTTTCGAAGTCGGAATGCATCTTTTTGAGAAGCAAGGCACCAGCTGTCTGCATAAGAACAAGCCAGATCTGTAAAACGGATGCGCTAGTAAAAAAACTCGAGTTCTAGAACACTACTAAAGGCCAGAATTGACGATTAACTATAATGTTCTGCTCGAGTTTACAGCGGATGAACGCAAAGAAACACATTAAAGACGGAAACCCCTTCTTTCTCCCTGATGAATTCTGACTTAAAAAAAAAAAAAACATCCTTAAATTTTCGCCATGTTCTGCATGCTTGCTAGTAGGAGGGAGTGGAAAAGGGCAAGTTGGTCTAATCTCTCCTCCCTAACCCCCCCCCCCCCTCCTCCCCCCCCCCCCCCACACACACAAACCCAAAATGAGAAATGGAACCCAAGCTAGGATTGTCGTTCGAGTTAACTGTTTATTTATTTTTTTATTTTTCTTTATTTTATTTGCAGATTATGATTAACAACTGGTTCTTCCATCACAATGAAGACATTTTTGAAGACCCATGGACCTTCAAACCCGAGCGTTTCCTTGACGACAATGGTGGACTCTTGCCTCCTGATCATCCTCTTAGAAAGAGGTAAATCTACGATTTTCTTGGACACACCATGTCATCTCAGTATAGTTGTTAGTTGGACACACCATGTCATCTCTGCATATTTGTGAGTTGGACACACCATGTTATCTCTGCATGTTTGTGAGTTGGACACACCATGTTATCTCTGCACATTTGTTAGTTGGACACACCATGTTATCTCTGCATGTTTGTGAGTTGGACACACCATGTTATCTCTGCTTATTTGTGAGTTGAACACACCATGTTATATCTGCATATTTGTGAGCTGGACACACCATGTTATCTCTGCATATTTGTGAGTTGAACACACCATGTTATCTCTGCATATTTGTGACATTTTTAGTTGGACACACCATGTTATCTCTGCATATTTGTGAGTTGAACACACCATGTTATCTCTGCATATTTGTGAGTTGGACACACCATGTTATCTCTGCATATTTGTGAGTTGGACACACCATGTTATCTCTGCATATTTGTGAGTTGAACACACCATGTTATCTCTGCATGTTTGTTAGTTGGACACACCATGTTATCTCTGCATATTTGTGAGTTGGACACACCATGTTATCTCTGCATGTTTGTGAGTCGGACACACCATCTTATCTATGTATATTTGTCAGCTGAACACACCATGTTATCTCTGCATGTTTGTTAGTTGGATACACCATGTTATCTCTGCATGTTTGTGAGTTGGACACACCATGTTATCTCTGCATATTTGTGAGTTGAACAAACCATGTTATCTCTGCATTTTTGTGAGTTGGACACACCATGTTATCTCTGCATGTTTGTGAGTTGGACACACCATGTTATCTCTGCACATTTGTTAGCTGGACACACCATGTTATATCTGCATAGTTGTTAGTTGGACACACCATGTTATCTCTGCATATTTGTGAGTTGGACACACCATGTTATCTCTGCATATTTGTGAGTTGGACACACCATATTATCTCTGCATATTTGTGAGTTGAACACACCATGTTATCTCTGCATGTTTGTGAGTTGGACACACTATGTTATCTCTGCAAATTTGTGAGTTGAACACACCATGTTATCTCTGCATATTTGTGAGTTTTACACACCATGTTATCACTGCATATTTGTGAGTTGAACACACCATGTTATCTCTGCATATTTGTGAGTTGGACACACCATTTTATCTCTGCATATTTGTGAGTTGGACACACCATGTTATCTCTGCATATTTGTGAGTTGAACACACCATGTTATCTCTGCATGTTTGTTAGTTGGACACACCATGTTATCTCTGCATATTTGTGAGTTGGACACACCATGTTATCTCTGCATGTTTGTGAGTCGGACACACCATCTTATCTATGTATATTTGTCAGCTGAACACACCATGTTATCTCTGCATGTTTGTTAGTTGGACACACCATGTTATCTCTGCATGTTTGTGAGTTGGACACACCATGTTATCTCTGCATATTTGTGAGTTGAACAAACCATGTTATCTCTGCATTTTTGTGAGTTGAACACACCATGTTATCTCTGCATATTGGGAGTTTTACACACCATGGTATCACTGCATATTTGTGAGTTGAACACACCATGTTATCTCTGCATACTTGTGAGCTGCACACACCATGTTATCTCTGCATATTTGTGAGTTGAACACACCATGTTATCTCTGCATATTTCTGATTTAGACACACTATGTTATCTCTGCATATTTGTGAGTTGAACACACCATGTTATCTCTGCATATTTGTGTGTTGAACACACCATGTTATCTCTTCATATTTCTGATTTGGACACACTATGTTATCTCTGCATATTTGTGAGTTGAACACACCATGTTATCTCTGCATATTTGTGAGTTGAACACACCATGTTATCTCCTCATATTTGTGAGCTGAACACACCATGTTATCTCCTCATATTTGTGAGTTGAACACACCATGTTATCTCTGCATATTTGTGAGTTGAACACACCATGTTATCTCTGCATATTTGTGAGTTGGACACACCATGTTATCTCTGCATATTTGTGAGTTGGACACACCATGTTATCTCTGCATGTTTGTGAGTTGGACACACCATGTTATCTCTGCATATTTGTGAGCTGAACACACCATGTTATCTCTGCATATTTGTTAGTTGGACACACCATGTTATCTCTGCATGTTTGTGAGTTGGACACACCATGTTATCTCTGCATATTTGTTAGTTGGACACACCATGTTATATCTGCATAGTTGTTAGTTGGACACACCATGTTATCTCTGCATATTTGTGAGTTGGACACACCATGTTATCTCTGCATATTTGTGAGTTGAACACACCATGTTATCACTGCATATTTATGAGTTTTACACACCATGTTATCTCTGCATATTTGTGAGTTGAACACACAATGTTATCTCTGCATATTTGTGAGCTGGACACACCATGTTATCTCTTCATATATGTGAGTCGAACACACCATGTTATCTCTGCATAGTTGTTAGTTGGACACACCATGTTATCTCTGCATATTTGTGAGTTGGACACACCATGTTATCTCTGCATATTTGTGAGTTGGACACACCATGTTATCTCTGCATATTTGTGAGTTGAACACACCATGTTATCTCTGCATGTATTGTGATATTTTGGAACACACCATGTTATCTCTGCATATTTGTGAGTTGAACACACCATGTTATCTCTGCATGTTTGTTAGTTGGACACACCATGTTATCTCTGCATGTTTGTTAGTTGGACACACCATGTTATCTCCTCATATTTGTGAGTTGAACACACCATGTTATCTCTGCATATTTGTGAGTTGGACACACCATGTTATCTCTGCATATTTGTGAGCTGAACACACCATGTTATCTCTGCATATTTGTGAGTTGGACACACCATGTTATCTGCTGCATATTTGTTAGTTGGACACACCATGTTATCTCTGCATATTTGTTAGTTGGACACACCATGTTTTCTCTGTACATTTGTGAGCTGGACACACCATGTTATTTCTGCATATTTGTAAGTTGGACACACCATGTTATCACACCATGTTATTGTGATATTTGTTGGACACACCATGTTATCTCTGCATATTTGTGAGTTGGACACACCATGTTATCTCTGCATATTTGTGAGTTGGACACACCATGTTATCTCTGCATATTTGTGAGTTGGACACACCATGTTATCTCTGTATATTTGTGAGTTGGACACACCATGTTATCTCCTCATATTTGTGAGCTGAACACACCATGTTATCTCTGTATATTTGTGAGTTGGACACACCATGTTATCTCTGTATATTTGTGAGTTGGACACACCATGTTATCTCTGTATATTTGTGAGTTGGACACACCATGTTATCTCTGTATATTTGTGAGTTGGACACACCATGTTATCTCTGTATATTTGTGAGTTGGACACACTATGTTATCTCTGCATATTTGTGAGTTGGACACACTATGTTATCTCTGCATATTTGTTAGTTGAACACACCATGTTATCTCCTCATATTTGTTAGCTTAACACACTATGTTATCTCCTATTATTTGTGAGCTCAACACACCATGTTATCTCCTCATATTTGTGAGCTGAACACACCATGTTATCTCAAAATATTTGTGAGTTGGACATACCATGTTATCTCTGCATATTTGTGAGTTGGACACACCATGTTATCTGTGCATATTTGTGAGCTGAACACACCATGTTATCTCTGCATATTTGTGAGTTGGACACACCATGTTATCTCCTCATAATTGTGAGCTGAACACACCATGTTATCTCTGCATATTTGTGAGTTGGACACACCATGTTATCTCCTCATATTTGTGAGCTGAACACACCATGTTATCTTTGCATATTTGTGAGTTGGACACACCATGTTATCTCCTCATATTTGTGAGTTGGACACACCATGTTATCTCTGCATTTTTGTTAGTTGGACACACCATGTTATCTCTGCATATTTGTTGGTTGGACACACCATGTTATCTCTGCTTATTTGTGAGTTGAACACACCATGTTATCTCTGCATGTTTGTGAGATGGACCCTTTTGAGATTATAGATGTTAATTCTCGGGATACTTCTCTAGAGTACCGATTACGCAATAAAATGTAATCACTCCTATAGATGATGAAAAAAAAAAACGTTCACCCTATTGCTAGGTTTGGTGCAATGCATAAGAGAGTCGCAAACGATGGTTTTAAATATATACCGGACAGAAAGGGTGTTGATACCTAGGTAGAGGGGTATGCCCACATACAGACATACATACATACACACACATAGACATACATGAAACGATTTAAACCACGTCCGTTTGCTTGATGATTTAAACATTTTTTCCCAGCGAGTTGGATGGGGAGGATGTGAGAGGTAAGGGGGGGGGGGGGTGGGTGATTTTGAAACGTTGTTGTTGTGTCCGTCATTGGTAATCATTTCGAAATTATTCTGTATTGTAATGATTAACAAACATCGATAACAAGCACAAGCACATAAACACACGCACAGTGAGAACGAGAAAGAGAGAGACAGAGACAGAGACAGAGATAGAGAGAGAAGCAATCAGGCGTATAACAGTAAAAACAAATGTAAAGGAACCTTTCCCATGACTTGGGCACATCGTAAAGTAAAAGACCCTTTTCCACGCCTGTAGGCGTATAGGGCAAATAGGGCTAGACCTATATTTTAAAGAAACATCGACCCTTGGTAGGTGATGTGGTCGGCATCACACCGGGATCAGGCATGTACGCACATACATATGTTTGAGAGTGTATGTGATTATCATGTTTAGAAAGTTTACGTCTACATACACAAGCACTATTAAAGCTCAATATATGTCCTCCTCAGCTTACTTCCCTTTGGCATAGGACTTCGCTCGTGCCCGGGAGAAATCTTTGCCAGATCACGCGTTTTCATGTTTGTGACTTTGATACTGCAGAAGTACGACATTCTCCCTCCGGTCAACGAGAAATTAGTTCTTGCAGATTTTCAAGCCAACCATGAGGACGCCAGAGGTTTCATTCGCCAAGTGCAGCCGTATAAATGCCGTTTGCAACGTCGTCAAAGAACTGGCTAATAGTACCTGAGATAATGCTGATGTCACGCGTGCATTTCACTGCAACTAAACTAATAATATAACTATGTAACAGTTAAGTATAATAGGATGTGTATTATATAAGCACTGGCATACTCTTGTGCTGATTTGTTAACAGCTCCCTTATCCCCCCCCCCCCTTTTTTTTTACCACTTACACATTACATATATACTGAGATTTGCACAATCTACAGAGAAAATGCCAGGAATCGTGGCTGGCGGCCGTGCTATAAATAATTTCCAATATGCAAATGGCACCGTTGTATTTTACGAATTAGTTATTTAGAATACAAAACTCACAAATGTGTCAGAGACAGAACTGACAAATTGTCAGGACATCAGAAGCTTCCCTTGTCCATGGTGAAACGTCGCAGTCTTGTGTGATGAGACATGATTCGATTGCAAAGACTGTACTTTAGGGGAATTTTTTGAGGGGATGAGGGGGTGAGGGAGGGGAAGGAGATACTCGAAGAAGAAGAGGGAAACAAAGAACCTGGAATGATCACTTCAAGAAATGGGCAGGTCTAAGTTACCATACATGTGTTCAACAAGCGGAAGACAGAGACAGATAACGGGTTTTGTATGCTAATGCTTCCTTCGACATACCTCCCAGACGATATCGGGTCAATGGTTGTTCAGTTAATGGCACCATCTGGATAGCAGCAAAGCTAAAATAATTGCAGGAATTGATAGAAACGTTATTTGTAGAAACTGCGGGGTCATCCTAGCCAGTTCACCAGGCAAGTTTTGATTGGTCTATATAATATGAGACTAACACTATATATGGGAGGGTGTGAGGGCTGAGTGGTCTCGAGGCACGGTGTCAACCTCAAATGCCAGAGGTTCAGGGTTTAATCCCCGGGAAGGGCTAGGATTTTTTCACTGGACTTGGACTTCTGGTTATTCCTCCTGGTCTCTGGGTAGTGAGATCGATCGCCCGTGTGCATTGTTGAGTACGTACAAAACCCTTTGGCAGTTGAAAATTAAAAAAAAAAATTATCCTAACAGCGCTGACCGGGCAAAATTTTGAGTTTAAAATCTACCTCAAGTATTTTCAGGATCCTCACCGGTGCTACAGAGCTTGTGCACTGTGCTGAGCTTCTTCAGACTCAGACTTGAGTTAGAAGAAGAATGGAGCACATATGGGTTACTACCCGTGTGCCATCATGTTGATCCGTTGTTCAAAACTTTCAAAAAGCTCAACACTGTATAACCCATACACAAGCAGGAGTGGAAATGGGACCAGAGTGTGGCGCGCTTACATAACTCCATTAGTAAAACGAAACAAAGCTAAGAGGGGAAGCAGTTATATATCAGTCATCAGATTGCCTCAACATGTTTTATTTTTTTTTTCATCGAACACCGGCTGTGAATTCCAGTGGAAGGTCCCGGTTAATCGTACGCTTGGACTTTTGGCTTTCACCTGGACCTGATTTTTGCGTGTACAACCGTTTTTCATTTCCCTGCCTCTTGGGCAGCTGTACGCCGACTTCGAAGGAAGACGTCAGGCCTATTTCTAGGGTGACTGTGGCCATTGTTTTGTGTGGGTCGAGACGTTGCCTTATTTGTGTGGTGTCCACTTTGTCTCCTTCGCCGCAGGTATTGCCCCCGGAGTACCCCTTTGGGGCAGCCCCCTGTGGAACAGTTGGCCCTCAAGGGAAGGCAGGGGCAGATCATGGGCATTCCCCGCCATCCAAGGAGGCTTCCATGCATGCAGAGCCGGCACATGGCGCTCTGGTTCTGGGCTCACCCAAGGAATCGTCACGTCCTGCACATGCCTGCTTAACCTCACAACCGTATCAGGCCTCCCGCTCGACAGGGGCTGCACCCTCTGGAAGTCAGCGGGGAGCAGCCCGTGGGTTTTGGACTTTTGTGACCACACAGATAGGTACATTAGCCCGACAGAATTTCACATCCTGAATCAGGCATATCGTTATCAGTTTTGTCCCAACACTCGGGCGAGTGGGGTCTTTGGGTGTGGACATTCGGTCTTTTTCAGTTCAGTGCAAATTTTGATGGTCAGATTTTGATCCTTATGATCTAGTTTTGTCGGACATTTAGGCTTAGCCATCCGATGGATGGTTGCTCTTGTGGTGTACCACAGCGCGGTGACGACGACACTGAGGGTTAACCGAGGATGTACGTGAATGGCCAGCCTATGGATGGTTGCTGTTGTGGTGCACCTCAGCGCGGTGACGACGACACTGAGGGCCAACCGAGGATGCACAAGGATGGCCAGCCCATGAATGGTTGCTGTTGTGGTGCCCTTCAGCGCGGTGACGACGACACTGAGAATTAACAGAGGATGTGCAGTGAGCAATGTTCTCTTTACTCAGCAGTCTTTTAACCAAGGGTTGTAATTTTAGCTGTACGTTTGTCAAACCTACTCATGTTCCTAATGAGTTTTGATAACATTTTTCACCCAAGCGTTTGGGGGCGGGCTGATGAGAGCCACAATGACACATCACCTCTGGGGGCCGCCAAACTCCGAGATCCCCTGACAGCTCTGTTAATGCTCATTTGAGACATTATCCGTGGCGCACGACGAGGACGTGTTGTAGGGGTCTTGCGTGAGGTTCCGTACAACCAGGATAGTGAAGGACTGGCGCCCGAGTGACGTACGGAGTATCTCCTTATACACATCATGTTGGACTTAACTTCCCCTCACGCCTGTGACATAAATCACCGCGCCACAACATGTTTTATAAATACACAGACAATCTATAAAGCTAATGAAGTACTGAAGCAGGTCTTGGTGTTTATTACCTCCTGTGCCAGTCTCATAGTTTTATAAGCCAGTTTTTATTTCTCAAATCCCCCCCCCCCCCCCCCCCCCCCCCCCCCCCCAATCCCCTCTCTGCCGAATAGTGCATAATACCACAATCGACTGAGTCTTTTTTTTTCATGTTTTTGATAAATTAGTTCTTTTACGTTTATCTGGTCAAAACTGTGCTAGTTCCTGATAAGATATTGATTAGGATATTGAAATTACATTTTGCACAAAAGGCTGCGTGGTCTCCATGCATAGTGTCTGCCTTAAATGCCAGAGGTTCCGGGTTCAATCCCCAATAACAGCTTGGATGTTTTTCCCGTGGACTAGGACCTCGTAATTTCCCCTGGTCTCCGGATAGTGAAATCGAACGCCCGTGTGCATTGTTGCGCATATAAAAAATTCCTTTGCACTTGGAAATCGAAAAGATTAGCCTAGCGGCGCTGCCCAGACAAAAAAAAAAAATATACCCAAAGTATTTCAGGATCTTCGCGGGTGCTACAGTACCTGTGCATTGCGCTGAGCTTCTTCGGACGCAGACTTGAGTTAGAAGAAGAACGGAGCACTCATGGGATACATCCGTGTGCCATGACGTTAATTTGTTGTATAAACCCTTAAACCTTACATTTTGCACACAAGCGCTAGCTAGACGACAATGCAATGTGGGCCTTAAATACTAAAGCAAAGAATTTTTAACTGATTATTTCAAATATTTCATATGGTCACAGAGTAAGAGAAGCAGCTGACCGAGCGGTTACAACATCTAGCTCTTATGAGGGAGACCCGGGTTCGACTCCTGGTAAGGTGATGGAGTGGTTCTGTTGGGGGCAAAATTAAACATCCTAACCTTCACAGTCCGTGAGGACTGCACTAGCCACGCAGTCCTAAATCCTAAGATTCCTGATTCCCTGTCTAAAAAACCTTTAAAACGTTCGACATTGTAAATTACATTGTCCACTTGAATGTGAGGTAGGCTTGAGAAAGAGAGACTTATAGACATTAAGAGTATTATACTGCACATCGCTGCTCTATTTGGACCCCATGTTTATACACTAGGTTGTTGTTTGTGAATTTTTATCAAAGGAGCCCCACGCTTTTAATAGTGGTTTATATAAAAGTATGGGTGCATTTTGAAACAAAAAAAGAATTATATAATCTCGTGTATCCATTAAAATATATAATAAAAATTGTTCATCTTTTAAGTGCTTTAATTATAGTGTTCATTCTAAATTAACACTTTTCCATGTTGGATCTGCGGCATTTTAGAGGTGACAAGAAAAGACCCTTCACTCGCTTACACCTATGCTAAATACAGCGACTAATTTAAATTGCTTCCTTCGAAGCTGGAGTGCATCTGCCTGAGATGCAAGAAACCAACAGTCTGCACTAAAACACAAACTCAGCTTCTGGAACAATTTCAAAGTCCAGAAGTGGGCCAACAACGGCCCTGGAACAAGAGGAAGGACAAGAGAAGAACCACCCCCCCCCCCTACCCCCTCACCGCCCCCAAAAAATAATGTTTACATCTATTTTTACATTTTTAATTCAAAAATGACCTGGTTGGCTTTCCCTTCTCTTAACTGCCTTGGACCTCAATCCTCTGGATCAACCCAACTATTTTCTCACCGGTCAGAAACAGAAACTATACACGCGCTATGTTTATTTACTGCTCAGGATTGATCACACGAATATGACATAGTCATGTTCAACAAATATGACATAATCATGTTAAAAAAATATGACATGATCATGTTCAACAAATATGACATAATCATGTTCAACAAATATGACTAGATCATGTTCAATAAATATGACATGATTATGTTCAACAAATATGACATGATCATGTTCAACAAATATGACATAATCATGTTCAACAAATATGACTAGATCATGTTCAATAAATATGACATGATTATGTTCAGCAAATATGACATAATCATGTTCAACAAATATGACATAATAATGTTCAACAAATATGACATAATCATGTTCAACAAATATGACTAATCATGTTAACAAATATGACATGATAATGTTCAAAACCAGACATGAACGAGTTTGAAATGAACGCAACCTATAGTTTCCAAATAAAAAATACAATAAAATAGCATCCATAAACCATACAGGGTGGTGGGGGAGAGGGAAAAAGAAACGTGTAGCTACTTGAAGAAACATAATTTGGGCATTTAAAATATTTATAATTTAACTGC